CCGATGCTCTGTCTCCCTTTTTGAATATGGGTACTACATTTGCCTGTTTCCACAAGTCTGGCACAACTCTGGTGTCTAATGATTTTGTAAATAAATTTACAAAGGGTCTGCTAATCTCATCCTAAATCCTAGGTTAGCTTAGTTAGCCAACAAACTCTGTAATATGTAAAACAAGGGGTGTCGTCCCCCTCTGTTTAACTCATTAAACTTCTTTTCCAACCTTTCCCCCCACGACTATATGTTGTGACTTCTCTATCCCTCATGTCTGGCTGTGCCTTGAGCCCCAGCATGCCTTCCATCCTTTCCCCACCTTAACCTAAAAAAAAGAACTAATACCCCTCTAGGGTGCAGGTCCCCAGGCCAGGGCGAGAAAGAAGGAAGGACAGCCACTGGTGCAAGTAACACCAGTGGGACCACGGCACAACTCCGCTGCAGGAAGCCGTTACAGAGCACCCAATCTGGGCCGCCTCTGATCAGGAGACACCCCTGATCAGTGGGGGGATACACAGAGGGCGTTGTCTGGAGCGAGCTTCCCGAATGTTTGGGTGGGCATGGTTAGTGGCGTCAAGTAATGGTAGTTTGCGCTCCAACGGTCGTCAACAGTTTAGGACAAAGGCTGGCTGGCTGGCTTTGGCGGTGAAGGGTCTTGAGAAAGGTCCAATCATGGCGAAGGCTGGTTTGTAATAATAATAATAATAATAATAATAATAATAATAATAATAATAATAATAATAATAATAATAATAATAATAATAATAATAATAATAATAATAATAATAATAATAATAATAATAATAATAATAATGATAATAATAATAATAATTATTAACGGTTTATTGAAAAAGTTCTGCAGCCCGAAGGCTGAAAATATACATTGGACATAAATGACTTATTACATACATTGGTGGTTTAACAAAAGCCTTCGTTAAAGAAAGGTAAAAGAACATACAGTGAACATACAGATTAATGTAGGTGTTGAACAGCAAACACGTAGTGTAGTAACTCCCTCCCAGATGGTGTTAGGAGGGACCTCACGTGGTGTAGTAATTCCCTCACAGATGGTGTTATGAGGGGCCTGACGTGGTGTAGTAGTTCCCTCGCAGATGGTGTTATGAGGGACCTCACGTGGTGTAGTAATTCCCTCACAGATGGTGTTATAAGGGGCCTCACGTGGTGTAGTAATTCCCTCACAGATGGTGTTATGAGGGACCTGACGTGGTGTAGTAATTCCCTCACAGATGGTGTTATGAGGGGCCTCACGTGGTGTAGTAATTCCCTCACAGATGGTGTTATGAGGGACCTGACGTGGTGTAGTAGTTCCCTCACAGATGGTGTTGTGAGGAACCTGACGTGGTGTAGTAATTCCCTCACAGACGGTGTTATGAGGGACCTCACGTGGTGTAATTACCTGACAGATGGTGTTATGAGGGGCATCACGTGGTGTAGTAATTCCCTCACAGATGGTGTTTGAGGGACCTCACGTGGAGTAGTAATTCCCTCACAGATGGTGTTATGAGGGACTTGACGTGGTGTAGTAATTCCCTCACATATGGTGTTATGGGGGACCTGACGTGGTGTAGTAATTCCGTCACCGATGGTGTTATATGAGTGAGGTGTGGTCCCAGGCCTTCCTATCGTAGACGGATTAACACATGGGTCTCACGGGCCGTTATCACTGGGTACCTGGGACCTCACTGTGTGAAGGTTAACTTGGGTACAACTGTTACTGTTGAGTTGTTTTCACTGACTTAAGCACTGTTCACCACTGAGTGAGTGATAGTCTAATCCTCGTGGAAGGAGCTGCAGGGCCTTTATATTGGAGATCTCCAGCCGGCATCTGGGTGTGTCTAGATCGGCTGTTAGATCAGGTAACAGAAGTGCTGGCTGGGTAGCAGTTCCTTGAATTAACAAGGTCATGACGCCGGGTTAAGCTAATCGCGTGGCGGTGAGAATTCTTGTTCCCTTTGTGACCTTGACCTCCTTTGGGTCAGGTCCTTGTCTCACCTTAGTCACTGTAGGGTGTGTCAAACAATGATTGTAAAGTGAAAGTTTTGGTAGAATATGGGATAAATGCATTCATACCACACTGTATAACCCTAGCAATGCTGTCAGCACATACCGAGACGTTTAGAGGGGGGGTGGGGGAGGTGGTCGTGCCCAGTTTGATTTAATAGAAATAAGGTTGTGATCAGAAGACCCTAAGGGGGCAGAAATTGAGTATGAATAGTGTGAGGGGTTAGAGGTAAAACAAAGATCAAGTTGATCGCGTTTAATTATTTGTTCCAAATGATTAAGTAGGGAAAAAGAGAGTGCCTCAGCTCCACCTGGGTCATCCCTTGCAGAGCCAAGCCACTCTCTGTGATGTACATTGAAATCCCCTAGGTAGAGGATCTCGGTGTTGGGGTGTGTGGATAGCAACGACTCATGGCAAGAAGTGAGATAGTCAAAGTTCCAAATAGTTGGTAGAGTTGGGAGAACAGTACAGGAAACAAAGAAAAATAGTCATAGTTGGTAGAGATATTTTGAGCCAGATGACATCATAAAGGGAAGATTCAAGATCCGTGAGTCGAGCTATAGGTGTACGCGTGTTGCAGTAGGCGCATACACCTCCCTTAGAACGGAAGGAGGTATAAAGGTTGTAGTTGAAGACTTGAAAAGGTTTGGGTGAAGCTGCTTTGGTCAGTTGAAGTTCAGATAGTGGTAAGAGGTCGGGGGAAGAGGTTAATAGATGGTGCTCCACAGAAGGAAAATTGGATCTCAGGCCGCGAATGTTGGAAAAATGAAGTGTGAAAAAAGCCGATCCTCCAGCAACCGAGGTGGCGTCAGTTGAGGTCCCAAAGTATATAAGTCCATATTAGAATCAACTAGACACAGACATCAACTCTCTCGTAAGTTTAAAAGAGACAGACATGATGACGAGTCATGCAAAGAATTTTTAAGAAAAATAAACAAAATACAGAGAGATATAAAGCGAAGGAAATCCTGTAATACGCCTCCGTACTGTTGATACATTTTATAGGTGCATCCTCTTCATCATTTTGACCAGTTATCACCTTACTAGCCGTTCGGGTGGTCGGTCTATCTAGTACAGGAGGAAAACCCGAGACCGGGAAGCCTGTAGTGAGAGTCACACTGGATAACACCCTTCTTCCCTGTGCCTGGGCCGAGGCTCGAACCCTTGACATACAGGTGAGAGTTACGCTGTACCACCAACGTCCTCTTGCCCTTTCTAACATTAAATCCATTCCTTTGACTACTCCTGAAGCTGACAGAGATCTTTCTATAGCTCTTCACAGTCTGTTTGGTTCTTAATTTACCTGAATAACTTGGCATTGTCCTCATCATTAGTAAGGAAGAGTGTATATCTTCTGGCTTGTCATTAATGAAACAAACAAACAACAACGGGCCCAATACACTGCCCTGTGACGGGTACACTTGATGAGTTCGTGTCATTAATCACCACACACTGCTTGCGGTCATGGAGGAAGTCTTCTATCCATGCTAGGACATTTCCCCGAATCCCGTACCCTTCCAATTTGATTTTCAGCCTTTCGTGGGGTACACTGTCGAAAGCCTTGGCAAAATCCAGGCATATATTGTCGATATTACCACCCCGTTCCAGAATATGGGTCCAAATATCCAATACCTTGAGCAATTGTGTTAAGCAGGAGCGCCCCGGCATAAAACCGTGTTGGCAATCCTTTACAAGGTTATTTCGTAGTAGAAGTTCCATCGTGGCATCTCTGATAATACTCTCAAGTACTTTACATATTATGCTGGTCAGGCTCACCGGTCTATAGTCATTCGTGGAGTGACGATCGGCCTTCTTGAAGATAGGACTCACATAAGCCACTTTCCAATCACTGGGGACCTTTTGTTCATCCAGGCATTTACAAAACAGGATCTTCAGGGACTCTGCAAGCTCGTTGCACAACTCTCTTAGCACTCTAGGATGCACCATGTCAGGGCCGGGACTCTTATGGACCTTTAGCCTGGGCAGTTTATTTCTAATACCCTCTTCTGTGAACACAATGTGGGTCAGTGCTGTGTCAAACCGTCTGTCCTCAAACGCAGGAAGGTTAATAGCATCCTCTCTAGTGAACACCGAGAAAAAGAAGCTGTTCAGAATCTGCGTAACTACCATCTTCAAGCCTTAGATCTGTTACGCTTAAACTCATTTTTTTTATTTTGACTTTGCATAATGGTAAAAAGCTTTTGGGTTTGACTTGACCTCACTCGCACTCCGCCTCTGGAAGTCTTTTTCAGCCCTTCTACACTCTGCCTCAGCTTGGTTCCTGGCTCTTGCATACATCCTCCTGTCCTAACCCACGTCTCGAATTTCTTAGTTTTCTTGTTAACTTTGTCCACCGCCGCACGGTTCACGTGTAGCTGCCTCCTTGTATCCCTGGAGCCAGTGGGTTTGGTCTTGGGTATATAACTATATATTTATCACTCAAATAGATCACGTTATTCACTATAATGTTGAGGGTAGTATCTGCGTTCTTGTTTACCAGCGAGTCAGGCCAGTGAATAACCCTCCCTCAACCTGTTGTAATCACCACTGTAATACTTGAACCTTGGCCAACGGGGGCCAGGTGTGGCCACTATACCTTCCTCGTTAGTTATGATGAGGTCCAGAAAATTGTCTGCCAGAGTTTCTACAAAAGAGTAGCTGGATTACTAAGGTCATTTGGCGCGGTTTAATTCGTACAGTCGATGTGGCCATATAGTTAGAGTCTCCCATGACGGCCAGGGTTGAGCGCCGTCAATTAAGGCTCCTAAGTTCCCTTGGTTTACTGGGGAAGATTTAGTCTTTGTTGAGAGTTTGGTTGTCATGGTAACAATGTTGTAAAGTTCTTGGTATTTGTGATGCGTCAGTGGGCGAGTTTTTATATTAGGTTGAGAGGCGAGAGACTGTTGCCACAACTTATATTAGAGATTATTAAAGAGAATGTTACAACTCTTATATACATTATTTGTACATCAAAAAAGGTTTTATATAAATGTTTAGTTTTTCTGGCAACAAATACTGGCAAACTGAGTTGATCTATCCTTGTGTTATTATCGCCGCTCACTCTAATAAATGTTACTCATAAATGTATTTTAACCTTAATGAACACTTTATAAATGTGAGGCTGCACTCTCAAGTAACTGTTGACCTTTGTCCCTTAGTAATGACCAACCATGGCGACGCCTCCACCACCACCACCACCCATTACCGGGGAGCAGAGAGACGGGTTAAAACTCATCACTACACTAAAGAAACTGGGCCGCCCAGTCTTGCTGGATATGTACACCCGAGCAGCACGTCAGGAGGGGAAGGCCGAAGACATGAAGCTTCCCGAGTTCCTGGAGAGTAAAGGCTTCACCAAGACACAGTTAAAGAAATCATTTAATAAGGACCAGCATAAGATACTTGACGCCGACCCTTCTGGCAAGAAATATGACATCTCGCTACTTTACCTGTGCATCACCTTGTGGCCAGCTGGACCCCCTTCAGGAAAAACTCAAAGCTGTAAAAGATTTTCGCAACGAAGTGCTTCACGGGGAGTTAGCCGTCAGTCCTGAGGATTATAAGAACAAGACGGAGCTGAGAAAACTGTTGAAAGACGTATATAGTGAAGGAAAAGATGTGTTTAACATTGATCAAGATGAAGTAGATAACCGGGTTAAAACCATAGATGAAGGCATCAACTACATCAGAGACAACCTCCTGGACCCCGAGGATATAATCAGCTACAATAATGACATCATAGAGCAGTCTGGTAAACAAGAGTTGGTGGAGCTGTTTGGTAGACGGACAAATGTTAATCCTGTGTCGTTTATTGCCGGTACAGACTTTTTCCTTGATATTGGCACTGTGTTCACACGCATCCAAGTTAAGAGGGAGCGAGGTACAGCTGCCCAAGATATACCATATGAAGACATTCTAAAACTTGCCATTGACAAAGGCAAAAGAATCATACTTATTGAAGGTGTCGCCGGTGTTGGTAAGACGACCTTCTTGATAAAATTATTAAGTGATTGGAAGGCCGACAAGAGCACCATACAAGGTCTTACTAACTTCCTGCTTGTCTTCCATGTTGAATGCAGAAATCAACACATCAGGTCTTTTTCACAGCTCGTCCAGTCACAGATGCCAGACACCGCTAAGAAGTGTCGAGGAGGTGACATGATCAAATGTGTCCAGCATTTTAAGGTCCTCGTGCTGGTGGATGGCCTCGACGAGTTGAATACAGCATCAAAAGCACTGGTCCAGGATGTCTTATGTAATTATAACTTTACTGTAGTCTGTACTACAAGGCCAGAGAGGGTGGACGACTTCTACAAAACTCTTCCATCTCACCTGGGAGCTGTCCATTTACAACTTGTTGGTATTCCTGCTGAAAGTCGTGGAACTTGTGCATAGAAATACCACAACCAGCTAAAAAAAGCTGGCAAGAGTACACAGAGTACACGAGAACTGGTAGAGTACCTAAAGAGTATGCCACGTCATCTCCAGGAGTACCTAAGATTGCCCATGAACCTGGTATTCTTAACTCTCATATGGGCCGAAGATCCAAGTAATGTAAAGAATATGACAACGGCCACACAACTGTACAGTAAAGTGAAGGATATGACGACAGAAAAATTTGTGAAACGACTGATAGATAAACCAGACACAGTTATATCTGCTAGTAGTGTGAAGAGAAAGGTTGAAAAGATCTTTAAAGTGATGTGTCGAGAATCCCTTGTAAGCCTAAAATATGACTCATTAAATGTGTCACAAGAGATGACAGACAACCTTGAACAAACATGTGGAGGTGTTAACATTCTGCTCGAGGAAGTCATCGGCGCCTTCCTCATCACCAACAACACTTACTCTCTCTGTGCAGGAGTTAAGTCATGCCTTAGTTTCCCCCACAAGGGAGTTCAGGATTTCTACAGCGCCTTGCATATAAGGGACTCGCTTCAGGGAGACAGACCAAATATGTCTCAAGGTCCCCGCATCATCAGGGAGGTCCTGGAGGAGCTACACAAGGATGACCCGTCGTCTCTGACTCTGACCAAATACCAGAACGTTCTGGTTCATCTAACTGGCATTTTATATGTTGATGGCGGAGGAGAGGTAAAGGAAGACAAGGCAGAAGAACTGGTCCGCCTTCTCCACTCTTCCGGTATGACAGACAAGAGACAGTGGGAGGACCTGATAAATGACGTGAAGTGTGACGCTACCTTGTGTAAATACGTCGCTAAACATATTCCACAATTGGTGACAGGTGACATATGGGTCAGAGATAGCAGTGTGTCAGTCTACACCACTCTACTCCCTCTTGGTCGACCAGACAAGATAACCGTAAGTATTGAAGGAGACCCAGACAACATTCCCCACATGGTCGACCTGATGAAGGTGGTGGCTGCGTGTAACAACTGTGCAGTACACATAACTATGACCCATCACTGGAAGCACCCAGACACCTGCAGCCCCTCTCTTGACTCAGCTCTCCAAGACGTCTTTAAAAGGTAAACTTGACATCATTATTCTTACAATAGTATACTAAAGGGTCCCACCTACAGTAGATATTATTCCATAAATTGAAAATATTACCTAAATAATAACAGGAAACAATTATCGGCATATATTATTCAGTTCATTATTTCAGTATTAATCATACAGCTGTTTGACAATAAGCTGCTGAGGTAGTTAGA